TATTACATTCAAATTTTACAGCATTTGCTGTGCAGGTCTGAGGTTAATGCTGGTCTCGTTCGTTATATTTGATGAAAATTCCCTAAGGAGCACATGAGAAAAATAAGGTGTGTGATAGAAAGAACAAAATGAATTGCAAATGTCCGTAATTATTAAGAGCTCAGTAATGCTTCATAGAGATCTCTGAAAAACAGACTATTTAGAGACCATCCAGAAATACCAAAAAGGAATCCCATGAGGGACAGGCATAGCACAAGCTGCAGATTGTGAAGGTATTAGGAGGAAAAGGACCATCATACAGTGAGCTCTGCAGAGAGTTTTGGTTAAAAAAAAAAGGGTTTGACAAACTCTAATAATGATTCAAAGAAGAATTAATGCTTTCACTCCTCCAGCACACTCCTCCCCAGAAAGCAGTGTATTAATGCCATAGCCTCGAAGGCTTCTTTTCAGATAAGTGACTGCAGCTAAGGAGAGGTGATTACAGAAAAATCCCATCTCCCCCTTCTTTGGTCGATGTGGAAGCTCTTCCATCACTGAGGTAATTGTTCAACCTCAGCACCAGCAGAGTGGAGGAGAAGCCTATGAAATCTGAATACGGGGCCAAAATCATTGAGTCAAAATCCCAATTTGGTTCTTTGGGGTGGTGTGGTCACAGACCTGCCACAGGGCAGCGAGCTGCTGCCTGCAGAGGCTGATGTGGAAAAGGATGGGCAGGTGGCAGACACTGGGCTAGGAAGCTCAGCCACAGCCTGGTGGAGACAGAATCTCGTCCCCTGGGGACACACAGCACATTTCTGAAACACTTCCTTTCTTCTGCTCATTTCTGTACTTTCTGTGCACGAAGAAACAGATTTAATTTGTCATCCCACAGTCATCATGTATGATACAGTAAACTCCCCTGACTTCAGACTTTGTGCTCTAACCACAAGAACATCCATCTATGCTATGTAGGAATTAGCCAGACCATGAGAACAGCATGATACAATCTGTTAGAAATATTTCTAGTGATACAGAATTTTTGAAAACAGACTGTAAGGATACTTTTATAGAGAAATGTGATGTAATTTGGGCGTAGGCTCTGCAGAAAGACAAACACAATTAATTCTGGTGTTTTCCTGATTGCTTCCTTTTTTACTGCTGTCAGGAAGCCTGCATGAAAACATGATTTTACACCAAAGATATTTGCATCTCTCCCTTTAGCAGTTACAACAGTCTGTATGCAACACAGCAATCTGGGAACTCTGCAGGGATTTGGTAGTTTCTGTCAAATTTCTATTTCCCATTTCTATTAGGAAGGATCAATTTAGCATTCAAATCAATGTGATAGTGTGATAGCATAAAACCTAAAGTGGAAAGAAACAGTGCAGGTAAGGTTTTATTTTTGGTTCAAGGAACAGTTGTAGCAAAAGAGACTGAAAAAGAAAGCTGATAGAAGATACAAAGACACTAATATCAATGACTGAAAACTAAAAGTACAAAATTGCATGGTTTTTGTTAATTCATTATATATAAAGTGAGTGATTAAGCAGAATAAAATAAATAAGAAGTAGAAATCCTACTTTAAAAATGGATCTTCTATAACGTGATTGCTACAAGCTTTAGGAAGCCTTTATTACACAGCCTGCAAGTGAGGAATTCCTGTAACAAAGCAGTCAGGTTTCCTTTTAAAAGGGCACTTTCAATCACTGCATAGTCATGCATGAACTTGTATTTCTTTCTGACTTGATAAATGAGAATGTATTTTTAGGTAAACCTTCCCATTGGACATTTACTGACCTTTATTCTGACTGGAATGAAAGAATGACTGCTGCTGGTAGGATGCACAGGGATGGCACGGAGTTGTGCCAGGAGACGTTCAGACTGGATATAATGAATCTTCTTACACAAACGTGGTTCAACACTGGAGCAGGCTTCCTTGTGAAGCAGTTGATCTCCCACGCCTGTCAGTGTTCAAGAAGCCTTGGACAGCTCTCACTAACGTGCTGTAACATTTGGTTAGCCCTCAAGAGGTCAGGCACTTGGAGTAGAGGGAATGTGAAGGTCTCTTTCAACTTTTTGCCATACTGCTGCGCTAAAAGTCCAATGTCAACTGTAACCTTTCCATTCAAGCGTAACATGAATAATATATGTAAAGTAAATCTCAACATGGAGCAAATTAACCTTGGGCTTTTCCAGACTAACTTCATCCTGTACTTCTACTTAAATCTGCTCAAAAGAGCAACTAAGACACAGGAACCAGTCTGCTCCAAAAGCCAGAGGGAGCCTGTCCTCACCAAGCAGGTAACATCAATTGCTTCTTGGCATGCCATATACCATTGTGCCACATCCCTGTCCTCAAACATTTTCTCAGAATAATTTGGAAAGGGAGGCCAACTGCAGAATATATTACAGCAGGTTAAGTTCAGAGCACACCGTGCTGAACTGCACCATGGCTATGTCCTACTGTGCCCATCACCCTTCCAGCACACCTCACCAAGTCCTACTGAAAACTGCCACTGCACATGCCATACTTGCTGCTAGCTTCTAAACCCATCTGGTAGCAGGTTTTAATCTCATCCCTACACAATATCATGTGAAATAGCCAAGTACTTTGCTAATTTTACCGTTCTTAAGTACTATTAATAAATCTCATAGTAGAGACCCTGATGTAGAATTACAGATAATGTGGCTTGCCAGTGTCTTCCCATATCCCATCACAGGAGTACCTGAACTAACCAGTAAAACAGCTCAGTTACAACACTGGACCAGGTCAGTAAGAGATTTCCTGCAGCTGTTAATTGGCACAGTTCCCACCAGGCAGTATTTTAACTCTTCTGGCACGTGCTTCTGAGGCAAGCAACAGCCTTGTTGCACTGCTTATCTCTTCTGGTGAGTGGACCCCTTTGGAGAACAGCAGCTTCTGATATTGCCTGAGAAAATGAATCTAATCTTCGTCTTTCAACTTCAAAGACAATCAGTCCACTTTTGCTGAGGATGAGATTTAGATATGGCATCTAAACAAGAGAGCCAGGTGCAGGTAATAGAGAAGGCAAACAGTTTTACCAGTGGCGAGACTGAGATGTAAAAGTTTCTGATTCACCTAGTAATCTTATTTTTAATGAACAAAAGAAAAAAAAAAGAGTAAATGTGAAAGTTGCCGAGAAGAGTTGCTCGGTTCCAAAGGTTTAGATGAACTGCACCAGACAGAATCAGATATTAATTTCAGTTCACTGCAATTGAAAGTACAGATGAACTCATGAAAGCCAGTACCAGATATAGCCTCTAAAACATCCAGAAGGAATTAGTGAAACTCAATTTAGAAATGATGGCTAATGCCATCATTGCCATAATGGAAATGACTGCCCATTGTCCAAGCTGCTAAAAGAAATATAGGACTTTCCATTTTGGGGCCAAGCTGTAGTCAAACACAGCTTATGCCCTTAGTAAAAGTCAAACAGGATATACGGGGAGGTCAAACCAGATCCATTCATATCTTCTACCCTTAAGTCCCAAGGGAGAAGCAGCTTTCCTCCTGCTTCCTCAGTCCTTAAGGAAAACAAGTCTCTTAATCTATTTAGAGGCCCTTCTTGACATTCTTTGGTTGTAGTTTTTCTCAGTCGACCTAATCTTTTCCCATCAAGCTCCATGCTAATCCCATTTTGCTCCACTCCTTCAACTAATAAAAGATTAGAGTGACATTTCAGAAAGGGCATCGTATTAAGCAGCTACTTTCCCATCTCAACAGATCACACAGTACAAAATGCAGCGAACAGGCCATTAATCTTATGTTAATGAGGTGTCAGTCTGAATGGAGACCTCCTCCTTGATCAATAAGAAGGGCACAGTAATAATGAGGACACTGCCACTTGCCATCTCTGGGAGCTTCACCACAAGGCAGCAGATCTGTAAGGCGTTGTTGATGGTGGCAACAGCTCTTGTCACCTCAACATTCTGCCCGTGACAACAGAAAGCAAGCATCCATGCTGGTCTGTCACCTCATGTGCTGCCCACACACAATAAGCTTTTCTGTGTTCTAATTAGTGGCGTAAAACTGTTTAACAACTTTGGCTTTGCTCTAACATGAAATCAATTAGGATTAGCAGCCACACACAGGGAAATTTCTCATACCTGTCCAGCCAGTCAAAGTCACTAAGAAACCACTTTCTTCATTCCTACAGTGGACAAGCCATCGTTCTTTCTGATGACATTCCTGCACTGGGATTATCCAACTTGTTATTATAAAGAATTGTCTTGTTTTCTTAAATATATCACTGCTCTCCTTAAAGCAAACTGCACAGCTACCATGTTGAGTGGACTGAAGCTTTATCGAGGGCTGAGAAAACTTTTCAGTAGAAGAACAGGGCAAATCACAGTCAGTCTTAATGCCATCCATACACTCACTTTAACAGAATGGTCTTCTCTAGAGAGAGAGGCAGGATAAGAAATCCACCTCTTCTGCGTGCACACTGCAAAGGAATTGGAGTGAACCTAAATGGCCTCTGAGAGGGAAATGCTCTATAATCTAGCTATGTAACTTGTGTTCTCTCATGGTTTGCATTGTTACCACTGATACAGTTAAGAGATCTTCTAAAAACATTTCCTTGTAGAGGAATTCAGCTCTTCTCCTCTTTTGAAATGCTCTCATCCTGCCCTTGCATACTGTTCTGTCCCAGTACGGAAAGTTAATGCTCAATATCAATGTCAGAGAAAGAGACTACTTGCAACTATTTCAAGGAAAACATTCATCAGATACTAAATCCATACAGTAAATGAGAAATCACAGCAATTTTCTGCATTTGCCATCGGACATGATACCATCGGCATTACCTACAAATGACCATTTTTAACCATGCAGCCTCCAACTAAGGCTTTATTCTGATTTTCATATCTATTTGCATACATTAAAGAGATGCAGTGATGTAAAATAAAGGATTCTTCTTTCATGCTTGCTTTTTAGAAAAATCCTGCCTTTCCATCTTTTTTTCAGAAATAAACTGCCTTGGAAAAGCTTAGATTCTTACCTGTATACTGTGGTAGGTGGAGAATTTAGTGTGTCATAGATGAGTCTCACATGTCCTTGGTACAACTCCAGAGCCAAAGGATCATTGTCTCCTTTGTATAACAAGATGCCATTGTCCTTGTCTGTTGCTACCTGCATAATATTAATAACCAGGTGAGGTTTCTTGAGAAGGATTAAAATGGAAACAATAAACCTATATTAAAAATTGCAACTAAATAATATATGCAATTCAAATGTGATTTAATAGAGCACATATATGAGGAACAATGAAAGCAAGAACCATGAAATACACAAAAGGACTTGGTGACATGTTCATACACAAACATGTTGGAAGGCACCCTTGTCTCAAATGAGCAAGAGTTTTCCAGTGAAAGCTGCAACATATGTGAACCCTGCTGATGGACTTTAGCTGTATTTTTGGTGGCACCCGAATAAATGTATTTCTCAATAAACTGGTATTTTAGAAAATCACCTTCAATTGCAATGAATTTCAGCAAGATCACATACTATCTATGAATATGAAGAAGGTCAGCTCAAGTTATTAGAAAGTCCTGCTGCATTCAAATGGGAAATTTTGAGTCAGGAGAGAACAGATCAGCCTTCAGCTGTCGTGCTTTGTGGATGTAGATATGCTATTTCTCAGAAACAAGCAACAGATACTCTGCATGACATACCTGGAGGGAAATGTTTGCCTGGGGGCGAATTTTGGCTGATGGCAATTCCACATAGGAATCCTTTCCAACAAAGTTCACCGTGATGAGCTTCTCACACTTCTGCCCAGCAAAGCCAGCAAGACAGCGGCAGACGGGCTCCTGGTGCGCGACGATGCACTGGGCGCCGTTCTGGCACTCATAGTTATCACATGGGCTTGTCTGGAGCAGAACCATCGGTGGAGGAGTTTCACAGAAAAGTCCACTGTAGAAAGTTAAGTGAAGGAAAAGCAGCCTTGTTTATCCCAAATTTTTGTATGGAAGAAAACGTTTTCAGATGCTGACGCTACAATACTATTGTGGTATAATGACTCCAAGATTCAGCTACCATGTGCCAGCTTTACTGTGTGAGAGCTGTACAGCATCACGCTGTACAGAAACCCCCATGCTGGGTTTGTATGAGCCAATTCAAATACTGAAAACAATTCGTTCTGCACTTTGCACTGGTTATCTAGCTCTGCAAGGTACAGCAGTCTGCCTCAAATAGCTTCCATACCACACTGTGCCGTGCAGATGTTCCCACAAAAACAGAGCCATTTAAACCCAAACCTGAGCTCAGCCCACCTGCTCTCCCTGCTATACAAAATATGCAGCACTCCTCAGCCAAAAATCTCTGTCTTAGGCTTTGTGACTTGAATCTATTGCTGGTGTTGTAAGTGGCACAAAAGGGAAATCCTCTATTTGTAGCATCTCGTACATTCTCCTCACTTGCTTTACTGTGTACCAGAGAGCACAAAATCAACAGATGGGCAATGGCTAAAAATTCTCAGAGGCACCGATACTGTGCTGTTCTCTGGGCAGTTTCCCTGCAATGGCTGTTTCTGACAGCAGTGGGATTATTAACTTTATTCTAGCTGAGTTTGTGGTTGGCTACATCTCAGACCAGAAAAATGAAAAGGAAAGGACCTCCCAGAGTTGGAGGCAGGAAAGCCAAGTGCCCAGTCTGAGAACTTGTGAACACAAGATGAATTCAGACCTGGAGGAAAGTGCTATGGTTTGGTCTTAATGATACAAGAGGCTGTCTCATTACGATACAAGCCAAACCCACATATAGTAGCTTCTGAGCTCCAAGGCTCCCAGGAGCAGCACTGGCTCAGTCCCCAGGCTGCGCACTTCACAGGTTATTTGCTTTCTACAATAGACTGGAATGACTCAACTGCAGTTAAATACTGACATCAGCTTAGGAGGAATGGGGGAAAGGGAAAAAATGTAAAAAGCTGCAGACATCTTTCGCAGTGATATCATGCGTCACACTGAACTGCAAAAAGCAATGGGGAACCTCTGCCTAGTACAGCCTGCAGGCCCTGCAGTGGGGCCAGGCTGGCAGCACACACACCGTGCACTCATAGGGGGCACCCCGACATTTCTCCTTACAAGGCACCTTCCAAACCCAACAAATCCATTTTGTATTGTTGAGAGAACATAAAATCTTCGCATTGAATTCTGTGACTGCTTGAAAACGTGCAGACAACAAAATGATGAAAAATCACTGCCTGGGGAGCAGGGAGAGCGCGTCAGGCAGTGCTGGGGAGCGGCGCGGGGTGGCTGCGGGCTCCGGCTCTCCACGCTCCTTAGTACTGGGACAGGCAACTTTCCAGGAGAGGATTGTGGCAGACACATTCCTGCAGTGAATAACCCCTCAGCTCAGTCTTGGAGCACTGAAATCCCACTTGTCCCACTAGGAATTTCCTGCCATTCAAGGGAGCACTTTGTGGAATAATAGCACTCCTAGAAAAACAAAGCAGAAGGTGCCAAAAACCTCACTTCTCTCCAGTAAAGCAGGTGAGATGTTGAAGCTTGGTGAATTTCTAGGCAATCTTAGAACAGAAACCTAAACCATAATCCCACAGTACATAGTACCAATACTAGACGTGCAAGAACAGCAAATAAAACAGCAATCTTGCTCAGCCATAGGGACCTGCTGCTTCTGAAACAGAAAGAATTGGCTTTCCTTTTCATATCCTCTGATGTACGTTTTGCAGAGTACTATGGCCCTATCCAAAGAACTGTTGGCATGGCATCCAACCCTCTCCTGGCCCCTATTCTCACAACCCATGCTGCCCTCTGGTCTGCCTCTGAGTAACTCTCTTTGTATCATACACAAGAAGGAGAAACTCACAATGAAATACAGATGGAATAAACTCTGAACTGCACCAAAAGCAGTGCAGTTGCTCTGCCTATCCCCTGCTTGGGTGATGCTTGGAGCTGTGAGTGGGCTCAGTCACAAACTGCTAATGCTTTCAGCAAAGAACTGGGGGGAAAAAAACAAACACAACACCAAATCACAGACAGCAGTAAATATCCTCTATCAGGAAAGCATATTCTTGCATAGAGGCAAGCCAATCTATTAATCTAGACAACTTATCTCAGAAGGGTAATTTGGCAGGCAAGACTGTTGGCAATCAATAAACCCCATTCTCTTTGCTCCAAGGAGTATTTGGAGAGGTATAGGGGTCAGTACAGAGTTCAGCATGCTGTAGGGAGCAGTGGAAATGGGAACAGGAAAGGCAGTATGGTTTGGGAGAATAACTGCATATGAGAAATGGTTCTCTTTGCTTCATCTGATATGATTCTCAAAGCAAATTTGTTCTTGGGAACATTACTTTCTGAACACACCTGAACTACGAACTAGCCACAGACTAAGAGACGTTCCCTTCCTTATGGTGTGCTGCTGCAGCCTGGCAGAGCCCCACAGGCCTCCTGCTTCTGGAGGGCAGCACTGTGCTGCAGGGTGTGGCACGACCCACCAAGATGTGGCTTGGATCCCCCTTTCCAAGAAAATAAGGGAACATGAAAAAACAGCAACAACCTCAGGGGAAGACAGATAGGCAGAAAGCAACTCCTGCCAACTTAAGCTAGTTACAACAGTGGTTGCCTACCAGCCTGGCAGCCAGACCCAGTGAGAGCTGATGATCATAGTGCTCAGAGCATCAGTGCTCCATCCACACTGCCAGCCAGGCACACAGGTGGGCTGCGTGGAGCACTTCCCTGCCTGAAGCCTGGTTTCATTAAGTCGTGATCTCCCTCCCCAGCACGGAGCTTTGCAATGAGATGGCCAACATGTCAGAGGTCTGACAACGGGAACAAACAAGGGCTGACCCCACAGATGACTGCCACCACTGACCTGATGTCAAGTGTAATTTCTTCTACAGACAACTAGCTGAAAGGAGCCCTGCTAAGCCAGCCCATTAGGTTTGCTCTGCCTAACACCAATCACTTTGTTTTGTCTGTGAGAAACAACTAGAAAGCAGAAGGAAAGACAGTGTTTATAACTGTGATTTCATGGAAGTTAAAAATAATAATAATGAAAAATACATGCAGCCCGCAACAGTCCCCGCTAACAGAAAGCAAATGTTGCAAGAAGCCAGCATGTCTGTGCTCGGTGCTGCTCTGAAAGATTTCCCAGACTTCCCATACAGCTCTTCTGCAGCCTTTCCTTGCCCTGAAACCCTTTCAGCGGGTGGCTCCACAAGTGTGGCTGTCCTGCTGCTGGGATCCAGACATTACATTTGCAACAAGTGAACAAGTGTCTGTCGAGGCCTTTTCTATTTTAAATATTAAAAATAGTTTTATAAATCATTAATATGACTTATTTCTGTAACAGAGGAATGTGGAGCACCGTTTTGCTGGCACAGCTTGGCCAGCTCCCCCCTGCCTGGTACCATCTCTTTTATTTAAATAATCACAGTTGAGTTTCTTGCAGCAAACTGTCCCAGTGGGGAACTCAGGAGCATTTACACAATGGAGGATCAGTTCTCTGTATCAAGCTCAGCAGCATTAGCATGTGATTTCCAACCACCGCAACATTTATCAGGACAGCGCTACTGTGAGGCCGATTGCTAGAGGCAAGCTTTGATAAGTCAGCTTTTATTCAATGGGTTCACAAATTCTTGAACGTTTTCATCTAAGGGAGGTAAACAAATTGTACAGGAAACAGAAAACTTTGCAGGAAGAAAATGGATTATATAATTGCAAAAGGCTGCTGAGTGATAAGGTATGGGGCATAGCTGCGAACGAACAGTGAATAGCAAATGCCAAAATGGAAAAGCAGGTGTGTGCATGTTGGTGCTCCTGCTTTTGGGGCTGTAATTGGAGGTAACTGTGCATATGAGCGCTCCACTGCTAAGGATTACCAGAGAGTGCCATTTGTCCAGCTGTACGATGACGTTAAGTTTTTAACCATCTGCAAGTGGCTTTGATGTACAGCATAGCAACAACTATAAAATAGCTAGAGCTCTATGCGTTTACGACAATAGCATAAGCTCCAGATAACTGGGAGGAGGTCACTCTGTAAGCTCACTGCTGGGAAATGACTCTTGAAGTTTAGCCAACTAACTTTATTCATCATAACCATGGGTCTCCTAGTTCCCTTCTGCAGATCATCCTCCTGTGTTCTCTCCTCACCAACACTTGCGGCGTTGCAAAGTTATCTCCTTGCTGCACAGCACAGCACCTCAGGCACATTGTGAACAGCCAAGTCTATAACCCTACGCCATCCAAAGTCTGAACTCTGTCAATCACCAGCTTTCCAATTGCAATCTTGAAAGAAAAAACACATCAGAAACCCTTTCAGAGCAGCAGGCCTTCAAAGCACGAAAGGCCAGAGTCATGGGAAGAATAATGAGCAGATCATATTTTGCTAGCAGAATTTTAAACATGAAATCAAACAAGAGCAGGAACTGTTCTGCATGGAAACTCTAGGGGTTTCAGCTCATCCTCTGCCTTGACAGACAGCTTCTGTTACTGCCCACTGATGCTTTCTTCATAAAACACCCTCAACTCCCCTGTGTCTTGCACAGGAAATTAAGAGATGCCATGGAGGGATGTCACAAAAGGAAAGCAAGCACGACACCTCAAGTCATTCCTGGCTCTGCAGTTGTAAGGCAGTGGAGTTTACCTTTCTTGCACAAGTCTTACCCTGGGCTATGAAGCACTGTCTAAGCTAGTAGAAGAGTTTAGAAGCTTTGTGGAGAAAGATATTGCTGCTTCTTGAAGTACTTCAGTGGAATGGAAACTCCTCATGTGATAGAGTTGGCTTGCTCCAGATCCTTCCTCTGAAGTCCCTGCTGTGAGAACAGCCAACCCAAGCTGGCAGAAGAGCCACCTGGGATGCAAGAATGACCCAGACCAGACTCCCACCTATCCCTACTGTTCAGCTCAACTGCGTCCTGACTTAACACACCTCTATCAAACACTGTGATACTGTCTTACCCCCCAAAAATTCAAACAGCTCTTATTTATCACCACCTAGAACTGGCATGCCAGGGCACCTGCAGCAGAGGTCTCCCAGTCACTGCTATCTGACCACAGGAGTGAGCTACCCTTGACTCCTGATACAGTTTAGCAATAACGTTTCTCAGCTCTCTGAACAAATAGATAACACTGAACATTTACAATTCTACTGTGGGATAGCCTTTTGTTATCCTCGCCAGTCACCAACTTGCAAGATCCCCAGGGCCATCAAAGCAGACGCAAAAGATATGAACTTTCTGGTTTCCTATAAATAATAAGTCTGATTCTATGTAACCATGGGTTGACAGCATGTTATATATCAGTACCTATTCAGAAAAGTCTGTCTACTTTTCAATAAAAATGTTTGTTAACAAGGGAAAAAAAAAACCCAGAGAGGATGAAAGCAAGAAGAACGAGGGCAGTTGCAGATACAAGGCAGAATAAAGGATTTATAAGTGTTCACGTAATTTCGACTTTGTCAAGACTGATCTTTTCAGGTATTCCTCTTTGTCTCGTGTGTGTATTTCAAACACAGGAAAAGTTTAGCTGGAAGGAAACCAGTATCCAGCCTCAGGCAATGATTAGTGAATCCATTTGGAGCAGCACACTTATCTTTGACAGACAGTGAGATTTCCAGGAGTCAGATTTATTGGCAGCTGTCAGAGACTGGAAATTTACAGCCCAAATCGTAGTGAGCCTGTCCTCCAGCAGGCACAGAGATACTGGCACAACATCTTCAGAATCTTATTTTCTCCCAGCCTGGTCTGAGGGTTCATATGTATAATTTTATTATCCTTTGCTCTCTCTCACATGTGCAAAACTTATCTCCATATCATTTATGTGATTGCATTACCTACTGCTTTACCAGGAAAGGCTGGGGCAGGCAGGCAGGCAAATTGACACAGCACTGCACAAAAGGCAAACTGCTGTTTGAAAAGCAAATGCTGCCTATTCAGTTAACTCTTTAAGATCTATTTCAGCTACAAGACAGAAAGCACCAGGCTATCTATTCCCATAGGAATGACACATCAATACCAAATGTAGAGGCTGATTAGCTGTGAGAATGAAGGCAATTAAAGAAAGTGCCTCAATACCATGTACAAAAGACAAATAGTGTGGAGGAGGAGGTGCCTCTCACGTACCTGAAGCCCTGAGGACAGATGCAGGTGTAGCCATTGACTGCATCTACGCAGACAGCTCCATGGCGACACTTATGGCCCACACAGTCATCATCATCTATTTCACAGTGTTTGCCACTGTAACCAGGCAAGCACTCGCATCTGCAATACAAGAAGATTGCTGTTAATAGCTTGTTTCAACATTCACAACAGCAGCACACATAGGCAACAGAGCACCAATCTGATTTGAGACAGAAAGGTGTTAGCTACTATTCCTGGAAGCATCAAGCACAATTCCTGCCATCAGAAACGCTCAGGTGCCTCCCATCTGTCTGCATTTGAGGTTCTGCAATCTGCTTATGTTCCAGCCAAGCAAAGCAATACCATACTTCTGTTTTTTTTCTCAGCCAAGTCTGTGGAGAAGGGTGATGGGATAGTGGTCTCCCTATGGTGTTAAAGATGACAACAATTCCCCTAACTTTATAGACTCTATATTCTGCAAGGGCAGTTGCTCTGATGTCTCTGACGATGTGAGTGCAAAACAATTTTGCCTGTTTCCATGCTGTTGTTTGAGATTGACTCTGTGCAACTACATAGAGTACACTAAGCTTCCATCTCCCAAATGGAAGCAATCTGCAAGCAAACCATAAAACCCAGCAAACGCAAACAAAAAGACCATCAGTTGTGAACTCTCCACCTCTCCATCACCCATCTGCATGGATGTAAATGTTGCTTCCGCTGGTGAAAGTTACCTCTGAAGTGTCTTCTTTACAATGGGGACACTCAGACCAGGCACACACCTGCCCCTTGTGGGGCAATGCCATTCTCAAAAGCATTACCTTTTAGATCAGGTTTGTTATATGAAGGTCATGTCACTATTTCTGCTATAAGCCTCGTGGATATTTACAACCTGACAATAGGAAATGCATCCCAAAGTCTCTGAGTTGGAACAGACTTTTTTGGGATAGCTGAAAAGCCTCTTTTTGAGTCTATGGTGTAGACAATGTTTAGTCATGAACACGTTTTAGTTCACAAAGCACATTTCACTACCCCCAGCTGGATTCTTCTGCACATCTGGAAAACAAAAGGCATATCACTTAAACCAAAACAAGGGAAGAGCTGCACTTCAGCAATAAAAAGGAGGTCTGTGCTCTTGCCAGAGCCCGTTGTTTAGATCTGTGAGCTTGTCAATGTAAGCTGGAAGAGCTCACATTAGTCATAAAGTCAACGGAGGTGTCATCAGCAGAGATACCACTGTGCCACTGATCTATTCTGCTGCCCTTCTGCTCCTCCTGCCTGCTGGCAGCCTGGCAGGGCGGGTACAGGTGGAAGCTCCTTGTGAGAAACCTCCTCAGAGGAACTGGGCACCTGGGAGCTGTCAAGGAAGAAGATACTTCCCCTTTCCAGGCAACAGTCATTGGATGGAAGTTGGTTCTGAGTGGTGTGTTCTGGCTGCCAGCCACTCCCCAGCTCCTCCAGGCAAGGCAGTGAGTTATCTCTGTGTGGGGCAGTGACTGATGAGCAGCTGCCACAGCTCCTGCACTGAGAAGAATTGGGCCCCCAGACTCCATTTTGTTCACAATGACTGGCTAAAAATGGACAAAAGAACGCAAAGCCTCTTAACCCATGGGCTATAGAGGGGTAAAGCTATGTAGATGCATAGGATTTCCTTTTCCATCCTTCCTCTGGGAAAGGCCACCATAACCCTCTGCAGACACAGGATGGTTGATGTTCCAGCTCTGTTTGTCTGAATCGCCTTTTTGCACCTTGGTGGCTCAGGGAATACTGTGATTAACATAAAGGAGATGACAGTACAGAGGAAAAAGTAAAAAGTGTGATTTCTCCAAAGTATAAGAAGTGTGCAGCACTTTTTGGCAACTTCAGTCACACCTGCAAGCAAAGAATGTCAATCAAAAAACTGGGTGGAAGGGGGTGAATTGGCAGCATTTAATCCTGTTGCTTTTTATTGATCCCTGCAGTCCTAATATAAAGTGATGTAATAATGAACGATGTGCAGTGCCTTATTCAGGGCTGCCATGCATCAATTTTACGATGTGTATTGGCTATCTCAGTAATGACAGAACCACCACTTTTCTCTGCAGGGCTGCATTAAATCAGCATTTTAAGCTGTCAGGTAATAATTCCAAGCTTTAGAAAAATAAAGTATATTTATACCATGCTCCAACATCACTACAGTGAATGGAATAACATGTTCTTTTCTTGAAGTTATTTTTTTGAAGTCTTTTCATTGTGTTAAATTTTTTATTTTATTTTATTTTTTTCAGCTGGTATACAGAAAGCTCCTCCTCCTCTCTGGTAACAGCACAGTAAATACGTGAAGGCTGGAAGTGAGGAAATCCACCTACAATCTTAAAAAGCAAAGAGTTCTGTGCAGCTGAACACACTGGAATAGTGCAGTTTGCTTCCAAGCTTGGCTTTCCCTTTAGAAACACGGAATCTCTTTTGGGTCCATCATCTCTGAGCTCTTAGGGTGCTATCTGGGCTGAAGCTACCAAAAATGCATGCATGGCACCTGGCAATGAGAAGCAGCCGTTGAGCACCTCACCTAGCATCCTTCTAGGAACTCCAAGTCTTGTCCTCAGAGAACGATGGCAACTTGGTGCCACCCCTCTCCCACACAGCACTAGCAAGTGTCTGTGTATCAGTAAAAGTGTGGTGCAGTAAAGATGAAGGCAAATAAATGTTTATGCTGAAGTCCTGCTAAGAGGGCAATCTACACGATTAGAGCGTTTATCTCATTTCTCAGTGACCATCCGACATCAGAACAACTGAAAACCTGTTTTCTGCTACAGCCTTGCAGTGATGGAAACATTCCCAGTATCCGAGAGCCTAAAAACATGTCTTGTGGTGTTCAAAATGTTGGCCTATCCAGGGGGATTTGCATCTGCATGCTCTCAATGTCTATTGTATTAAAGTGGTGATTCATAGCTTCTATTGCAAGGCCACAATGGAATTTTCCTCCCCATATGAATATATAACTTGGCTTCCTATTTTTTCTCTCTTTATCATCTTTTCCTCCCTCTGTAGACTTGCAGGCTGACTAGAACTGAACAGAGGAGAGGCAGCCTGGAGTCTCTGCTGCTCTGACATCCTTCACTGGTGTGTGCCACTGTGCCCAGGGCACAGACTGCCCACTGGATGCTCAGGGAAAAGCTGAACCCACCATTAACCTTCCTGCCCTGTCAGCAGAGCACAGGACTGACGCATGAGCCTGACTCATTCTGCATGCACTTTCACACTGCCCCATTACACGCTAAATATACTGCACATCATGGGTCAGGGGATCAAACTGCTCAAGGAATCAGTGACAGCACAGGAACAGAGCTTGTTGTTTTGAATGAGACCCAACAGCAGCCACATATTGCTGCAACAGCTGCTGAGTGTTCTCAGCTATTTCTGAATGGTTTGGTGCAACTAAGGCATGCAAAAAAAAAAAAAACAACACTGGGATAAATCTGCTTGCAAGGCTGGAAAGGCTCCCTTGCTTTTCAAGTCTGGCTTGTGAGAAAGCAAAATGGGACCAAATAAGCAAAGAAATTTTGTTTAGCATTCCCTGAACAGTAGGAAGAATAACTCAACAATAGTGGGAAGAAAAACACAAGAACAGTAGTAGAAAATACTTATGAGCGTGATTATTTAGGCTTCTTTCAAAAGTTAAGGGCCCTGCTGTGAAGGACACTTCTTTAGCAAGCAAACAAGCAGAAGTATCTTATTTCCTCAAAGCATTTGAGTGGCAATAACAAAAATACTTCCAATAAGGGTAGACCATTCAGGACCACAATTATTTCCATCCTTACATATATCCAGTGATGGAAGGAAATCTGAGTTAAAAGCCTTTACCCTTAACGTGCTTTAGCTACTCTGCATTCTAGATATGGAAGAAAAAATGCTACGGACTATCTGTGTATCAGCACACAACAGCTCTTCCAGTCTGTGTATCATTTCGGGAGCTGTGCTAATCATTTGACAGTTCCATCTTCCTTGAGAGTTGGAACCATTTCTATCTAGATAATTTTCATCTGAAAGCAAGGCTCGAGCTTTACAGATTGACTGTCTAGCACAGATTCAGCTACCCTTCAGACAGCACCACTGAATTTTTTTTTTCTCTTTCTTTACCTATTCTGAAATGCTCTGTGTCTGTCTTAGTGTCCGTTATTCTGACCTGCTGCTTCACAGGGCTTAGTCTGACCAAAGCTGCAGGTTACCAAAGAGCACTACTGCCCCTCCCCGGACATACAAGGTGTGCTAGGTGAAGATGTCCCTTGCCAAAACTCCAGCCTTCCCTCCCAGAGGGAAATGGAGAGTCTCTAGGACAGCACTGTGGCTGTGAAAACAGCCTTAGAGAAAAGTGCAGAACACAGCTCACAGCTGCACCAAGACCTCTTGAATTTGTTCTCTTTTCTTACTGCTTTGATTCAAAAATCTTTCCTCCACAAGCTTTCCATACAGAGTCAGACATCTGAAAAGTCTAGCTATTTGCTAAACTGTTCTGAAATTCTCTCTCCAGTGACGAATGCTGCTAACATGTGCCCCTCGAAACAGCCCAAACCACAAATCGCCAGGGTTTCACCGTTATTTACAGTGAAGGGCAGTCAGTATCATTCCCAATACTCAAAGCCAACAGATCTACCCAGTGTGTGCTGACCAATGTGTACACATGCTCACCTGGATCCTTTGTCAAGTGGAACACATTTGGACTCATGTTGGCATGGATTTAGCTCAGGAATGCAGTGGTTAATCACCTCATCACACAGTTCACCTACAGCAAAAGAAAAGCAATAAAGCTGTAACACAATTTGGACAATCCTGAAGAGCTTCAATCATGATGTTCAGTGATGGCAGATCTCCCTAAATGGAGACACTCAGTTGTTCAGCAGGGAGTGACAACACTGCATGTGAGATCCTATGAGACTTCATTAAACTGGGTTCTTTTGACCTACAATGACTGTACTGATTATATCATACAAATCTGAAAGATTGGTATAAAAAGCACTGACATGAAAGCCCTGCTTGGAGACAGGCTAATGATTGAATGGTCAGTTCTTGACCTCTTGCATCAAAGAAAGAAAGTGACACAAGAACGAAGTTACTCATTAGACTGTGACATTTTCACACCAAAGCATGCAAGCCGCAGTCACTACTCTGCCAAAGAGGCTGATGAGACATCATTCTGGAAAAGAAAGACAACTCACAAACCCTCCCCCAAACCTCTGTGACTCTCAATAATAGGAACCAGCTTTACGACTGCACGTAATTATAAAACATTCACTATTTATACGAAAAGCACTGGCTCTATTGTGCTCACAGGAGATGATGTCTTTTTAGAAAAAAAACCAACACGTAAGCTCAGCTCAGCTGTTTCTAGGTATTGTGTGTTACACGCCAGGCACCTCCCTGGATTTGTTTAAATGTTAATAATTAATAGAATGCTCAAAAACAGACAGTTTATTTAAACACCCCCTTCTCTCAGTCCTAAATTATTAGGTCACACTTCAGTATCCCAGGATTTGAGATCCAGCCAAAGACTACATAAATGTTTGGCTTCCCAAGACACCAACAGAAACATGCCCCCCATCTCCCAAAGCCTTTCAGGAGAAGCAAAGGTCAGGTACTCTCAACACGGAAACCCTTAAAACTACAGTCCCAAAGTCCCCCATGCAGCTCTATCAGAAGACCACATCTGCAGGGTTTCAAGGGTTATGCATATTTTGTGTGCCTATACATGATACATGTTATCGTACAAGCAACAGGTCATGTGGATAGTGTGGGAAAAAAGATACCATGTTTGGCCCTGGTGAGCTGGCAATGCTTCAGCAGTACTGTCATGAAGCTGCAGGTCTGTCTGTCTTAGAATGATCTCCATTTTCAATAATAATTGCATTTCTAAATGTAGTGGCTACAGAGAAATACATGAAAATACAACCCAAGAGAACCACATATATAAAAATTCAGAAGGAAAATGCAAATCAGAACCACCTTTTATCAGTCTTGTGATCTGGCAGGGATAACTGGGAGTACAGTTTTGAGAAGGACTCTGGTAGTGGCAGATATGAGTTAAGCTGTTAACACTCTCAGCTCCCCCACTTCAAGCTATTTCTCCCACATATCCAGCCTCCATACACTACAACACTACAATGTTGGTACACAAGACTTCATTTGGCTCTTCATATGAGAATGGAAGAACAATGAAATTTGCAAAGATGACTCAAAAATTTTAATTTAAATTAAATTAATTTAAATTAAAACAAGGAACATGTATCTGCTTTTGAGAGTTGTCAAGCAAAAATGAACAAGGGGTGCAGGAATGCAAGCCCTGAAGGCAGAAGAGGTGACTACCAATGTAACCACAGCATTCATATGCCATATGTATCCTCATGCCTTTTAGTGGGTTGGGTTGGGCAACACTGGAGAAGTACAACATGGCAATCCTCAGTAGGCAGAGTTTGTTATTTGTACAAACTTTCCATTCCATTTGGAGCCAGGGAATCCCAAGAAACCACCGCTTATTAAATGCTATCAAGCCTTTTAACAGTTGTGGACAAAACTTGAGCAAATGTCATCAATGCATCCAGCTCAGGGAAGGGATGTGCCAATAAGATCGAGACCCTGGGAACCAGGGAAACAGTTCATTCCCTGGACTTGAGGTTTGCCACTGTACTTTGTTACTCCTCAAAAGCAACTGGGGATGTTCAGTTCTTACCGATAGGAAGGCCGCCTCCATGGAGGACAGTCATTAACACATTTTTGAGGCAGAAGGACTGGAGATAGGTCTGTTTACTTAGCAATCCCAAAACTCACAGCCCACAAGCTCTCCCAGATATTAAGAGCCAAAGTGACAGCCTCTGCCTTTGGGCAGACATGAACACGAGCTGGTCAGAACTTGCTGCAATGTCTGGAGAATTGCCAGTTTGTCTTCTTGGTGTATCTCATGTCCCTTAGCAGTGCACTGCAAATCTTATGCGAAAATAAACATGAAGAAAGCGTAACTGGCTGGTGACATTAAAAGAATGCAATGATCTAAAGCAGCAAATATTTTCTGAAGACCATTTATTAACTGAACACAGTGTGGACAGATGCCTTCAACCATTCTTTTGCTGAAAATCTTCAGTACAGACTTTTCACATTTCTATTTCTCTTTTTGCTTTGAAGAAGAGGAAATGGGCTTTTTTAAAAAAAAAAATAAGAACTGTTTCATAAACTCTCAAAGGAAATAATAATTCTTCTTAAAGTATTCTTCTCAACAGTCTTGACAAGTGCTTAGAGATCCAGTAACAATCTCCCCAAATGTCAAATATTATGACTCACTGTGTCATTCTGAAGGCTCCACTATCACAATTTAGGAGAATTCCAGGCTTGGTACCAAATACCTCATCCAAAAAATTTATCAGTGTTCATGCAAAACTTGGAAAGTTTAAGAACTCTTCCTGTTATTTTTCCCATCTATCACTCATTAAGGAGTTCACTTGGGAATGCCTTGCAACTAGAGCAGCATCATCTCAGGAAGAGAATTCTAGATACATTATTTCAGACTCCAACAAAGTTCACTAGATGTTGCAAAAAACATGCCAAGGAAATAAAGCACTTTCTGAAAGCAAAATCCAAGGCACCAGCTGCACAAAAACGTTCTTCTACTTCACTTGCTCAGAAAGTAACTGGGCCGAAAGATCTGCCATCAGACCTGAGAGTGCAATATTCACTAGCCACTTCAATGCCAGCATCAGAGGAAAAATCTCACCCACTGCCTTTGTTGGTGTGACGCACAACTGCTCCTCTGTGAAAAAATTAAAGGTCTAGTCCAAGTTCCTCACTGGATAGCTATGTGAATCTGAAAGTGAACTGGACAATAATCACAGGCAAAATTCTAGCAGCATTCATTCTATTTGTGGGAGGTATTTGACAATGCTAAAACATCAGAAAGTTCAGTATAATCCTTTCCTAAATGTGGTAAATCTTTCCATCTTCCTCTGTTCTCTGTATCCTCAAATCAGACCTCCAATCGGAACGGATGAAGAAAGTAGTGTGATCTGCCACAAACACGCAACTTTCAGATTAGAACCAAATCGTACTGACAAGCAGAGCACTGGCAGGTGGATCTCCTATTGCTGTCACTCCGGGCTTTAAAAGAATGAAAAAAAATGACCCCCTCGTATAATAGAAAAGGTACGTTGCCCCTTTGAAACTACTTCCCATCTATCCTTCACCAGCACTGCTCACTACTTTTTAAAAAGCCACAACAAAACATTTATTATCTCATGCAGCATTTCCCTGTTCTTATTTTTTCAGTGAAATCCTGAATTTCATGGGGCTTTCCATATTCACTTTTCACAGGGCTTACTGCTTATGAAGAACTGCCAAGAAACATGCTTAGGCTTTTCTTTTTCTTCCACATGTCTCAGAATGAAGCCAAGGCAACAACAGAGCAATAAAGAAGACTTTAACACACAGTTTAATAATCATCTTTCTTTTTTTTTTTTTCTTTTTTTTTCTTTTTTTTTTTTTTTTCCATTCTGAGATGTCAAGAGAGTTATTCATTTCATGCCACACCAGACTTTTAAAACTAGGATCCAAGTTACACTATTCTCCTTAATGACTAAAAGAGAGATTTGGAGGGTGGTAGTATCTAAGTAAAACTACAGTTCTGAAAAGAGCATCTAATCCACCAATTTGCAACTGATGAGTTCTATGATTTTCTTTTGTTTCCCACATCAGCTGGATTATCCTTTGTTCTGTCATTCCTGATACTCAAGAAATAACTGGTAAAGCAATGTAGAAAATATTCCCACTGTCATTTTGAGAAAACCTTACGGTGGGCCTGGAGGACTAAAAGCAAAAATACTGCTGAGCATTTCACAATATTTCTCGAGAAAAAGAAGGAACTTGCAGTGAAAGAATGATGGAGAAAACCTGGCCTTTATCCGCACAGCAAACTTTTCCAGCTTGCGCAGCGAGATGATTTGTATTTGAGTGGTTAAATAGTATGTTGCAAGTTTCTGAACTTTGCCAGGTGAATCGAAATAGAACTCTTCCCTTTACTGGCAATAAAAAACACTGAACTGTTATTCTCATAAGAGATTACTCATTTGATATCTAATAACTTATATCGGAAGAAATGTTTTTTTGCATTTTTCTATTCCCTTTCTCTCTTTTTAGTTATTAAAAAGAAGTCAGTGCCAAGTGGAAATTTCAGGAGAACAGAGAACCTAAAAATGGTTGGGTGGACCAGACACAGGATGTCCCTCCAATAAACTAGAAGAGACACTGCCAAGAAAATAACTAAGTCGGGAATGATGTTGATACTTGATGAAAAAGATTTGAGGCTCATCTTAGAAAATAAAAATTGGATTTTTTTACTTCCAAACTCTTTAAACTTGCAATGAGGAAAAGAGAAATGCTGTCAAAATCCAGCAGTAGCAAATGCACTCAGCTGCCATGTTAAACACCAATACTGTGTTAAAATAAATTACCTGGAATCCACCACTGTAACAGAATTTTCTGTATGGATAATGAATGGAGCTTGCTCTGGCTTGATGAATGCTGCCCAAAATACTTAGCTGGCAAAAAACTAACAGCAAATTTATGCTTTTTATTCTATGCTAATGCTTTGAAAACTCATTTCCGAGTGTTCACTTATGAAGTTTTGGCCTGTTAAACAGTAGCTACAAGTTAGCCTCAACATTCAATGTCCCAAGAAAATGGCTTGTTGTTCAGAACTGAGGAGCAATTGCCTCTCAAGATAAAACAAGGCAATACCCGATTAAA